CCTTATTTTTTTATTTTTAAAGAGAGTAAAATATAGTAAAAAACTATCATTAAAACAATACGGAATATCACTCAGCAAAATGAAAGTAATTCCACGATGGATGTTATGTTGCATATTGCTGTCTTCACATTAGCTGATCAGATTCCCAGATATGAGATTGACAATTGGTCCAAAAATGCAAAAGAAGAGAAAAGTAAATAAGCACTAACTGATGATTTTAAGTTCAACTTGGAAAAGAACTCACCCTCTCCTCTGAAATAGCTGAACGCACACTATTTATTCACTCTTCTTTCTTAGCTATTTTCTTGTTCAAGAGGAAATAGAGTGAGTCATTTTGTACTCCATTCCCTCAAGCTCTGCATTTTATATGTAGAATGTTACATCATCAACACTTCACTGTCCCTATTTCTCTTGTAATTGATCCCCAATGTCCACGTCCAGAAGGACCAAACCTTATTTCACTGGACTTTTACAATTTGGAAATAAGCCAGACCATAGCTTAGAGCCAACCATCCCATGGAATCAAGTCTTCTGTAGTCTAAAGCTTTGATTATGTCAGCACAAGACTAAAGGATTACAGAGAACATGGGTGATACTTACTGAAATCCCCATTTTTTCTTCTTTTTTGGGTGGAATGAAGGATTGAACTCAGACTCTTGTGCTTGGCAGGGAAGTGCTTATTCTACTGAGCTATCTCCCCAGCCATAATCCCCATTTCTTGTAATCAACCTAGGCATTAAAAAGTTTGGGAAACTCTTCAGTGTGTTCAGTTAAATAAAGGAAGATCTGGCATTAGGAAGTTTCCTGTCTGCTGTCTGGTCAGTTTATGGAAAAAAATATTAGAGATTGAGACTAAATTTACTGTACTTTGATGCGATACCTTCTGCTATTTATGTAGGGGTGTTGAATTAAGCTATGAAACTCTTATTCTAATCATGAATTCTATGGTACTGAAGAGTTGAGATTTTGTTTTAAAATGAGTAGTTATACTTAGAAAGAAAAGAAGCGTGCAATCCATTAAATTCAGCAATGAGTGAGAGTCTGAGGTGGTGAATTAGTGGAAATATTGGTCTGTGGCTGAGTCTTTAAAGCTGATCCCATATGGCTGATGTGCAGGTGTTGAGTGGGAGGATGCACGTGTACTGTAGGCTGTAAGAGTAGTAATGGGTAGGTACTGGGATCAACGTTAGTCCACTGAAGTCAAACACTGCTTAACGGGGACCGTAGCTTGACGATGCTTTTCATACTCATTTCTGTATTACCAATCATATTTTAATCACTGAGAAACAAACCCAGCGCTCACAACTGAAAGGGAGAGAGGCTCATTTGGCTCTCAGTTCCAGTGATCCATTCCATAATAGGCTGCATCCAAGGCAGAATGGCAGGGCAGAAAAGAGAGCTCAGCAATGGTGGTCAGGAATCAAGGAATCAGGGAGGGGAAAGGGCAAGCTGGAAGGGAACTGGCCCTTCTTCCCATGACCCAGAAACTGGGAAGGAACCCACCCTTCAGTGCAGGGCCCAGTGACAGGGAAGGAGCTGGACCTTCAGTACAGGGCCCAGTGACCCGTCTCCAACTATCCCAACTCCAAAGAGCACATTTATCCGTGGACATATCAGTGGGCTAATTTGCTGATCCATATTGTTCCTCCATAAACGAACTGCCTTCCAAAAGCCCCACCTCTGAATATGAGACATTTTTAATTTATACCATATACTATGACAGTTATTTTTAATCATAAGATAGATAGCACAAAATGTTATTAAATGTGCTTGTTCAAAATAAATAATAGTAATGCATACAGTGGAAACATGATGACGTAGAACTCTTGCCAAATGAGTTTTATTATTGCATTCATGTTGGAAACGAGAAAGTTAAATTAAGTATTTGATTCTTACTTGTGTTGTCGTTGTGGCAAATATATATAATTTTATTTAAAAAATAATACAATTTATTGTAAGTTACACACATGCAGTGATATTCTCTGTCACCTGGCTACAGTCTCTTACATTTTCTTTCTCCTGCTCACCTACCTTCATGTGGTTCAGAAATCTTGGGAACTAATTATTTTTTGTTGTTGTTGCTGTTTGTTTGTTTGCTTTTCTACCAGTCATCCAACTGAGGACCTTGCACTTGCCAGGCAGACACTTATGCCACTGAGTTATCTCCCCAGCTCCTGGATCTGCTTTTTAGGAAGTTTTTAAAAGAATTAGAGATGGTAAGATGCTATGTATCAGGGGAGCAGAAAGCAGGACGTAGAGACGGATGGCAGATGCTGGTGGAAGCTCATAAGACTAGAATGGTAATAGCAATGCATAGGTTAAAAGGCAGAACCATGAGGCTTGGGTTGTGGCTGGGGACTCCATTGAAACCTGAAGAAGAGGCCAGATATGCTACATTTATGGCAAAGATCTTGTGCGTATTCCCCTCTTCCCAGTATTTTGTGTGAGGTTTTAAAAAGAGGTGATAGAGTATATCACTTCACAGAGAAAATTTCAAGGTAGCCTAGTGTTCAAGCTACTGGATGGATACTGTTTGTTGCTTTCCACCAGATTCACAATGAGAAACAAGAACAAAAAATAAGCCAGGGTTGGTTATAATTGTTGTGGACCCCACCATTGTGGGGAGCTGAAGAAGAAGGGTTACACATTACATTCCAACATGGGGACGAAGCAACACATTGTCTTAGAAAATGGCCTGGAGATGAAACCGAGTGTGAAAGTTTTGGATTCATTCTTCAGAAGTAATGATAATAGTAGTAGTAGTAATAATAATAATAATTAATTAATTAATTAAATATTTCATGATTTTGTCACTTGCATAGAAAACTATGGAAGATTTAGAGTCAAAATTGTATAACATGCAAATGGATCAGTGCAACTGAAAAGAGTGGAAGTTCTTTGCATTAGGAAAATATAAAATATAAAACAGCAGGCTGGAAGGCATCTCAAAAAATGGCTAAACCTCACCAAACAGCATCTGGAGGTTGTTTTGTGCCTCAGAGGAGAACGCAGACTTAGAATATTCAGCAATATGGGAGATTATAACTTTGGCAAAGTCTAGAGATAGACTATATGGGTTTTGCATGACGTGGACATGGGACTTGGGCGCCGTATGTGTGAATGCCATGGTTTCGAGGTCTAAAGCCTTCCAAACCAGCCATGAACTCAGAGGGCGGCTAAGGAGCATGAAGAGGTGATGGGGTGCTGCCCTTGTCAGCATATTAACCCAGTGCTGAGGACTGAGTGCACTGTGCGATGGCTGGGCTGCTTAGAGGATGGCTTGCTGGAGGTGCCTGGAGTTGTGCACTGCGGTCCTGGCTGTCTCGGCTATCTCTAGCTCCTGTCTGTCCTGCACCACGCAGTTGTCTTCCACTATGCCGAGGTTGTCCTGGTGCCAGTCCATCACTCATGGTCTAAAATTTTGAAATCATAAGGCAAAATAAATTTTACCTCCTTTAGGGTGCGACTACAAGGCATTTTGTCATGCAATGGGAAGGTGACGAAAGCAGCGGATGCTTACCACCCTGAGCTGAGTGGGCATCACTCTGAGTAAGATGTTCTCCTTACTGAAGTGCCTGATGAGGCTGTTTTTCCATTTTTATTTTTTATTTTATTTGAGGGAAGGGTCTACAGGTGTTCAGGGTCTCACTACTAGATCAGACTCATACTGATCTGCCTGTTTACAGCCTCCCAAGAGCTGGGATTAATGGCTTGTTCCACTACGCCCAGTATCAATTGCCATCTCAGCAAGCCCCAGAGGCAGGGCTGGCATGACAGGTCCAAGGATCATACCCCCAGGCCCTGCGCCTGTTTGCAGGGGCTTCAATCTACTGAGCCAGCTGTCCATCCCTGTTTCTCCATTATAATCTCTAGTTCTTACTGTGTTCTCTTTACTCATCCTCAGACAGTTGATCAGCAAATCTTTTTCCTGTTCTATAAGGTCTCTTTTCACTCTGGTGATTATCTCCTTTGCTATGTGGAAGATTTCTAACCTGACACATGCAAATGGGTCAACAAATTTTGTTATTCTCTGAGACACTGGTGTCTTGTTCAGGAAGTCATTGCATAGATCAATATTTTGAATTATTTCTCTGTATGTGTTTCAAAGTGTTAGGTCTTAAATTATTAACTTTATCCATTTTCTCTTATTTTACAGGTTGAAGTAATGAAAATAATTTCAGTATTGTGCTGAAGGACATCTGGGTTTACCAGCGCCATTCGATGAAAGGACCGGCTTTTCTATACTGTAGGTTTAAGCGTCTTTGCTGAGAATCGGAAGGCTGAGAAGTGCAGATCCATTCCTGGCTTCCCCACTGGATCAACAGTGCATTTCAATGCTTTAGCTCTTCTGGATAAGTTAAGTTTTTGTACAAATTCTAGGATTTTTTTTTAAATTTTAGTTATCTGATATGGAGTCTTACTATGCAGCTCAGACGCATATCAATTCTCATGTTTTGGCCTCCCCACAGCTGAGATCACAGGTGTGTACCACCATGTTGTGTCTCATTGGTAGGCTTGGTGTGCCTGGCGCAAAGCCAGCACATGTGGTACCGGGGATCAAACCCAGGTCCTTGCACTTGCCTGGGCAGGTGCTTAGAACACTGAGCTATATGCATGGCCCTAGACATTCCCTGATGCCGTGCACAAAATTTTTGGTATTTTGATAAAGATTACATTGAATCTGTAGACTATGTGTGCAGTGCAAGATACTCGGTTCTCAATACAAGTATAAATATTAACTCAATAGTAATGAAGTTGTAGAACATTATAAGAAATTATTAAGGTAAAATGTGCATTATCTGTGTTTCAAGATAACTACATTCATAACTACTATCATAGCATACAGTAATTAACTCATTTGTATTAATATTTGTGTTAATAGCCCTAAAGTTGTCAGGGCACACAGGTGCACCCTCTCCTATTTCTATCAGGCTGCGCTGCTCCACAGTGTGAAGCCAACCAAGGAATGAGATAAAAGAAGCAGAGCGGGGACTCAGGGATCATTTCTTCTTGGGAGAGAACATCCCAAACGCTCTTTCCATGGCCCCCAGGACCTCCTTGTTCCTCAGACTGTAGATAATGGGGTTCAGCATCGGGGTGAGGATGGTGTAGAAGACCGCCAGGATCTTGTCTTCTGCTGGGGAGCGGAGACTCCGGGGCCGCAGGTAAGTGTAGACAAAAGGAGCGTAGTAGAAGGTCACTACAGTTAAGTGTGTGGAGCACGTGGCCAAGGCCTTTTGCCTGCCCTCCTTGGAGTGCATGTGGAAGACCGCAAACAGCACCCGTCCGTAGGAGGCAGTGATGCCTAGGAAAGGGAAGAGGAGGAACAGGCTCGTGCTCACAAACACCATGTACTCGTAGGCCCAGGTGTCCACACAGGCCAGGGGCAGCATGGCGGGGACATCGCAGAAGAAGTGGTTGATGGCCCTGGACCTGCAGTAGGGGAGGTGAAGGGCGTAGACCGTGTGCGCCAGCGAGTTGATGGAGCCCAGGGTCCAAGATCCTGACACCATCTGAGCACACATCCTTCTGCTCATGCGGACAGGGTAATGGAGGGGGTGGCAGATGGCCACGAATCGGTCGTAAGCCATGGAGGCCAGGAGTAACCCCTCTGAGCATGCCATGGTCAGGAAGAAGAAACTTTGGACCCCGCAGCCCAGCAAGGAGATGCTTTTCTGGCCAGAGAAGAAGTTGAAGGCCATGTTGGGGACGGTGCTGGAGATGTACATCAGGTCCATGAGGGAGAGCTGGCTGAGCAGAAGGTACATGGGCGAGTGCAGCCGGGCGTCCACGCGGATGAGGTGGATCATGGCGGAGTTGCCCACAGAAGCGAGGCAGAACACGAGGATGATGAGCAGCGTGAGCAGCACGCCCGTTTGGTTTGGCGGAAACAGCCCCAACAGTATAAAATCATTCGCAGTGTGGTTCCATTTATCCATTTAAGCGTTATGTCTATATTTCTTGAAAAAGTGTAAAATAAAAAGGATTAAATATGAAGTGTGAAATGAAGCAGAAAAGGATAATACAAAAAGAACAGGTCTCATTTATTTACTTTTGTGTATTTAGTATAGGGTCTACAGGGTCTCACCACACTTACCAGACTCGCAGTAACTCCTGTTTTCAGCCTCCCAAGTGCTGGTACTACAAGATCGCGCTACCGCGCCTACTCTCAATCTCCGTCTCAGCGTGCCCTGGGGGCGGGGCTACCATAGCAGGGCATGCTGGGGATTGAACCCCAACCGCTACGCTCTGCCTAAGCAGATGCTTCATTCCGCTGAGCTGCCTGGCCAGCCCTGGATTTTATTATTGATTGAGTAGAATGAACTGCTTTTCTTCCAACAGGTGTTAATTTATTAATTTGATTTTAATATCAGAATTGAAGGTTTGCTTTCCTATAGTTTGTGATACCAATCTCATTTATATTACGTATATTACTCCTACGTCCAGCACCCCGGGTAGGAGACACCTCCAAGGAAGCCAAAGCGCCCCGCCCTTCTCGGGCAACTCCATCCTAGCACAGTGCTCAGGGTCAGTACTCGTTGTTCCAATTTAGCAGAGCATTTTGACCTGAGCAACTCAAGTATGCGACTTGGAATCTTTTTGTGTGCAGACATTGTATATGTCAGTTTTCTTGTTCTCTGTTACTTTTCCAAATTCTGTGCTCCCTATGCACTCAGACCAGCTGAGGTTGACGCATCTCCATCCTTCCTCCAGCTGTGCCTCTCCTGTTCTTGAAAAATATTCTTCTAAACAGAAATTCAAAATTAACCGTTGTTGTTAGAGCACAAATATATATCTTGAAATTTCTTGCTCAGATTACTAGATATAGGCATATAAGGCTGATTAAACAAGTAAACAGGAGCTCTTCCTTTCAATAAGACATTAGACAGAATATATTTTTTTAAAAGAGTTGAAGTTATTCGATAGTGAGTGTTCTGTTGCACATTGTTCTCTGATGTAAGTTTCTCAGATTACAGATTGATGCCTTACCATTTTTATCTTATGTTGCTTTACTTCTGTCTTTGGTATTTTTTTCCTCTTTAAAATTAAAAAAAAAAAAAAAAAAACAGGGGCTGGGGAGATGGCTCAGTGGAATAAGCACTCCCCTGGCAAGCACAAGGGCCTGAGTTCAATCCCCAGTTCCACTGAAAAATAAATAAATAAATAAATAAATAAATAAAATAAAAATTAAAACATTTTTCTGACTTTCCTAAAATGGGCTGAGCAACAAATTCTCTGTCCTTATGCTGCGAATATTTGTACATCCTATAAGATCCATACTACTTTTAGCATATTATTTCAGTATACTCTCATTTCTCATTGATTTATTTTCATTTTCGAAGCCTTAAAATTGTCCGCACAGGTTTCCATGCACATTTTTCTCTTTTTCATGTCATCATTTACACCTGATAAGGATGATAGATTCGATACTTTGTATTTGTTCATTTCAATTTGTCACAGCTCCAAGTCGTAGCTATTGTGATGGTAGAAGTACAGCATGAATATTGAGATTAAAACAGAAACACAGACATTTTCCTTATCTCCTTACTGTACATGTGAATCTGAGAGACTCACAACATGTGTATCCTGCTCTTTCCATGCCTTCATTTATTACCTTCCACAGCACAAATCTGTTAATTTCAGCATTGGTATCTTCTTTTCCTAAATACTAAGCATAACATTCACTCATGGAAAGCATAACCTTCTAAGTTACAGTCAGGGCTGGAGCCAGATTTGAGCCTGTGTGGTGGCTTCAAATTTCTCATATTTCTAGGAACTGATGAGTGACTGCATTCAGTGTCTTGCACCGGTCTCGCATGATCGTGCCTGATAGTCTATCTCCAATGAAGTCTCTGTCTATGGAGATGGGAGAGACAGCCTGTGCTCATCCTGCAGGGCACACTGGGCCTCACCTCTCACTGCCTCCTCCTCACCACCTAATCCTCAGGGCCAACTCCTCATTGCCTCCTCTTCACAAACCACCTCCTCGAAGCCGCCTCTTCCCCACCAGCTCCATGTTGCTGCGCCCTCGTCGCCTCCACGAGCCTGCTCCCCCCGGCTGCCTCTGCTGCCTCCTCACTGCCTCCTGCTCAGTCACCGGCTCACAGTCACCTCCTGACCAACTACTCAGCACCACCTCCTCCTCGCTTCCTGCTCGGCGGTTCCTCACCGACTTCTCCTCTTCAGTCACTTCATCAACACCAGCTCCTCCCTACTGTTATAACCTATGTAACTGTCTCCATTTTTGTAACTAGAACAGCTATTTTGTTATATACAACTCTGTATGTTTCCATTATAACCTATGTGATTGGCTCCATTTTGCCACCAGAATAGCCATTCTATTATACACGTCTGTATGTTTCCACTGTAACGTTATTAACAAGGAATATTTGCATAAGCTGACAACTTAGACTTCATCTTCGTGGCTCAAGCCCTCCATCTGGTCTCTGAACACAGTTTTGTTAATGTTCAAAACATTCCTTTGTTCTGAGCCACAGACTGTTAAAAGCAGTCTACACAAAGTTTCCTGTGATCAGCCCCACATCCTAAGATACCTTTCTGTTCCAAGGACAAGTCCCTGTTCATGATGTTTCTTGTGATCAGCCCCATATCTTAAGGTAATCACTCTCTGTTCTAAGGATAACTCCCTGTTCCCAAAATTGTCTCGATACCTTTCTGTGACATCCAGTGATCAACACCATGCCATAAGAATTAATTATTTGTTCCTAAAATTGTAACCGTACAGTAAAAGAATGTAACCTGTTTCCCATAAGTGGACGCTGACCCCGGTGCTGCATTCCCTCGCGCTCGTCACCCCCCTCTTTTCAGCTTTAAAAACCCTTGTCTCAGGAAGAGGAATATTGTGGGACTGTCCTGCTTCAAGGTTGTATATGGTGAGATTTTTGGGTACTTATGTGCAAACATGAGAAGTATAGAATTCTTTATCCTATTTTTAAAATATAATCTAGGGCTGGGGAGATGGCTCAGTGGAATA